CTATGAACAGATACTTTATATATATATATATATATATACAGGGTCGGCGCCAGAGCGCACAAAGTGAGGGGGCAGGCACAATTTTTTTGTACTTGTAAATAAAATAATCTGATATATATGTACAATGTAATAACATATAGCCTATTTTGATATATGAACTGGGTGTTCGTCAACGATTGCATGCGGTCGAAGATGCCCGTGTTTACAGCTCCGTAAAATAATCTGGAAGCTCTGTAGGTTTGCTGTATAGGCCTATAGCTAAAAATATTAAAATTATAAACACACAATAACATTTTAAATTACTTCCATTTCTGAAAAAAAAAGAATGTAGGCCTAGTAATTGATGTTATAAATACACACGCCTGATTTTTGTTTTTGCTGTATAGGCCTATAGATAAAAATATTAAAATTACAAACACACAACATTTTAAGTTACTTCCATTTCGGCACGGCACGGCACGTTGAACGGCTGCGCTGTTTCCAATGAATGCATAGCTTATATAGTGCGCGCGTGAGGCGCCGGCGCGATCAAACAGCTGAAACATAAAATAGACTACTCCGTAATTTTTGGTCAAACAGTAAAGGCATAATTCGAAACTGCAAAGTGTTAGCAGTTTGAAAATTCAAGAATAATAGCAAAGTTAATAAGAATTCTTTCTAAATGCAGCACCGTTCTTATTTCACTCTGCATAACCTGAACGGGAAAAATATTTTTTTTTGCTAAGAACGAACCGAAATGAAAACATTTCGCTTTTAATCTGTGTATTTAACAGCCTGGGAGACCTTCCCAGGGCAGTACCTTGCCTCACCGACTAAAATCAGGGCGCCCGCTACGGAGACGGCACCAGAGGTGAGGGGGCACAGTGACCGAGGTGGCCGGGCCCCCTCAGGCCCCCCCGTGGCGCCGACGCTGTATATATAGCTTGATGTTCTCTCCATTTTTGTTGTGTTCATTTTGATACTGAGGGGAAAGCGCGAAGCACATATTTACATATTCATATAAACATTGCTTTCATCAGAGTGGGCGGTGTCGGGATGTTCGATAACAGTATACCGCAGCTCACGTAGGCTATTTCGAACTTCGTTTTACCCCTAAACGAAGAACGAAAAAGAACTTTGTTTTCAGTAGTATATCGGGGCCTTAAGCCCTCACTGTGAAACCAGGCCTAAATGTTTGAAACCCTTTTAGTGGATATATTTGTTTCTATAAACAAAATTAAAAACATGTATGTACAGAGATGAAATCAACCCCAAAATTGTCTCATAATTTTTTTTCTCTTGTAGTGTTCAAATTATTAATATTAATTATAGGTGAAATATGTCATTCTAGTCGGGTGATTTGCACTCTCCACCGAAGTTAATGTGAAGGATTGGCGTATCATATGCACGCAACATTGGCATCTGGCGTATGCATTACACGCAATTAGAAAGTGTAAAGTCGTGTTATTTATACGCAGATTGATGAGAACGGGTTGACTATTCACAGTGACGTTGATTGACAAGATTGATGCCACAGGAGATTCATATGCATTGTCACCCCATCCAAAGGCTTACATGCCTTACAGGAGTATATGGGAATTAAAATGGAAACTCTCATAAGAATTACACTACCGTTCAAAAGTTTGGGGTTGACAACATTTTGCAATGTTTTTGAAAGTCTCATATGCTCACCAAGGCTGCTTATATTTGATCAAAAATATTGTAAAAACGGATATATTATTATAATTTAAAATAACTGTTTGAAAACATTTTAAAATGTAATATATTCCTATATGGCACAGCTGAATTTTCAGCAACCATTACTTCAGTGTCGCATTATTCTATGCAGAAGGTTTAAAATAAGAGCATTTATTTGAAATAGAAATCTTTAGTGATATTATAAATGTCTTATACTGTCACCTTTGATCAAGCAATTTCTTTGCTGATTAAAAGTATTAATTTTATTTAAAAAACATTTTACTGACTCCAATCTTTTGAATGGTGGTGGTGTATGTCAACTTTGTTCTTGGATCTTCTGTACATCTGTATGGCTATGTACTGTATGTCTGTGTCCTTGCAATATGGCAACCTATTCTTAAAGGGATAGTCCACCCAAGAATGAAAATTATCTCCTTATTTACTCACTGACATGTCATTCCAAACCTGTATGACTTACTTTCATCTGTTGAACACAAAGGAAGACATTTTAAAGAATCTTTGTAACCAAACAATTTCGGTTCCTATTGACTTAATTGTATTTCTTGCCCATACAATTTGAAATCAATGGGAACCGTTTGTTCACCAACATTCTTGAAAATATCCTCCAATTCATGTTTCCTCCCCTTTTCAACTCCACATTTCTTTCACCACACAACCACCATAAACATTTAAAAGCATTTTTTCCATAACTTAAGCATTCCATTAATGGGTTCAGTCTACAGAGCATTATGTTTCCATTTATTAAGAGTGTCACCCACAGCACCATCTTTAAATATGCAGGGAATGTCCAGCTCCTTATATTTTAAATGGGGCTAGAAGAGGTAGAAAAAACTGTACTTTTGCTATGGCATAAACATTTTTGTTTGCTCATCTGAAGCTAATGGGAATCTCCTGAGGGACAGTGCTGTTTGTTTGGTTGAATGGAATGCTGATGAAGAAGTCCCCATGGACAACTGATGGTTGGAGGCTACTCACTGTGAGAGAGACACTTAGGCTGAGGGATACTTCAGATCACTTTAAAACCATCGAGTCATACAATTTCCAGTATCACTGGTATGGCTTGTCCAGCAGGAATTAATTTTTTTTATTGTTGCTAAATATTTGTTTTATTGGACTAGTTTGGTTTATGAGGCCAAATATATAGTTGAAAGGGATGTAAAAGTCTGTGTTAATTAAGCAAACGATTCCCCTTAGACAGCACTCTACTGATTAAACGTGTCATCTCCCTAATGCAGTGTCCCATAAAACATGAATTCCCCATTTACAGTATGACATCTTACTATAAAATCATTTGTACTGTTTGACGTATATATACTAAGCATAAATGATCTGAGACTTGTCTGTAGGGTTTGGCCTGTTTTTCTTGCGTTCTCACAGAGATTGGTGATTCAGAGATGGGAATAAGCACCTGGTCAGTTTTAGGTTACTGTCACTGTCCTGCTGCTATCTTAAAGTGCTTCGAAAAGTATGGTTCAAAACATAATTAATGAGTCTGACATTTCCCAGAGGATCTGACCGACATTACATATTAAATAATTATAAGCTAATAATCTAATAAAAAAAAAACGGACTACTGTAGAAACTACTTTGGGAAGACGCTGTTCATAAACAGATTACTTTACGGCACAAAAGAATGGTTACACTCATTGTCCATATAAAATATAAATATAAAAATATGGATATAAACATGGACCAAAAATCTATAATAATACATTATTTAATCATTTGAACCTTTATTCATTTGATGCCTCTTTTATTCAGAATCATAAAAAAACAATATTAATGGAAGTGAAAGGATGGCTTTGTATAATAATAATAATAATAATTATTATTATTATTATTATACAGGAGGAGTTTAATTCCCAAATATGTGTCAGTTTTAAACAATCATAACCACTCCACTTCAGAAAACTTCTTTGCATTTAAATAACGTAACTGATATATAAATGCTATCTGGTGTTTAAGCAGGACCACTTTCTTTATAATATGAATCACTTTATAGCTCATAAGGTGGACACCTTTCTGGTTTAATAATCATTGCACCGAATGAAAAATATCTGTTTATTCATACATCATATTTCAGTTATTATATATCTTGCTCAACCCACACTGATTTTTAAAAGACACTTTAAAATGTCAACATGGGTGAGTTTGCACAGTGTATTTTTCCTACTTGCCAGGTATTCTGCATTCAGGCAGATATTGCATTCCTGAACTCTATAGGCAAAGTGTTTTTAAGTTGCTTTAAACAGTGTTTAACTTGCTCACAATTACTGCACAATTAAACAAATGCTACTGAAGGATGTTTGTCCATCGTTGGCGATGTGAATGGCTCATTTTCCTTTTGTTCCAAAGGACATCTTAAGAACCATAATCCTATCGCTTAACCACAGTCCTTATCAATCTATTATCATTTACAATCGATTATACAACAGTTAGTTCTTGTCCTTGATTTGATTTGCCAAGTGTTCCAGGACATCATATTTAGTGTAACAGCACTGTGATGTTTAACTTTTTGTATCACCCCGCTTGTTTGGAAAAACTGGCTGTCCTATTTGATTAAAAATGCAAAGCTTTAATGCTTTGACTTCTTTTGGAACTATTTCAATCGGAACAAATATATACAGACTGTCTCATTTTTGTCTAAAATGTAATGGATATTAATTGCATGTTTATAGAACTGTTGTATAAAAGCTATATCACATAATTGTTTTGTTATTCTGAATAGGAGCGTGACTGTGATTATCCGCAACTGAATTATAGAGTGTCACAGTGCCTGCCCATTTTTTCAGCAGCCTTGGTTCCGGAAGTATTTTTCCCACCCATTCATCATTAATTTTAAGCCATGAACCAAACCAACCAGCTACTAAGTGAATTACACTTGATTTGAAGCAAAAAAAAATATTTGAAAATCTGTCTAAAAGGTTCAACACTGTGCACTTAAAATGGCTTTAATGTGGGAAAGAAGCATTGCAAATGGCATCAATTAAAAATGATGGGAAAATTTGTGCTTCATAGGAGTGAGTGGATGCTAAATTTGCTTGTTGCAATTGTCGAATTGGTGATTTCTCTTCAGAATCATGGGTTATGTAGTTTTACACCAGGAATTCCACTGATAAACACAATTATTGAAATAGTGCAGACTGATGGCTTCAATAAAAGCATGTGCCATCAATTAACAACCTTGTAGCTCACAGTAGGTCTGTCTTTAAAGGTTTTTGTTATTGTTGAAATGAATTCCCCAATGTAGAAAATGAATGGGATTTTTACTTTCAGAACCCAACTATCACTCTCTTTAATGTAACAACAACCTTTTCAAAGCAGGTAGGTCAACACAGTTTCTGTCCTTGAAATAGCAACAAAATTAATATAAACTGTTTGACGACTTCTCTCACATTCGCAGTTGTTATTTCTCTTCTCTCACTGCACAGTCATCACAGTTAATATCATATAATTACATGCCACGCAAATAATCTGGTGTCACACTCCACTTGCTGCATTCTCGGTGTCCTTGGTAACCAACTCCTCTTGCAATGGAGATGAGCCCTCTATTAATTCCAGACCACGTTCTGTCAAAGAGAAGATGTCAGGGCTTGCACTGTAGCTTGTCCAAGATGCTTGGTCAGTTATGGGAGAGGCTGAATCCCACATGTTCGGCAGATTCTCAGTGGCACCGACCCCAGAACTGCTGTAGACATTTTGGTTATTAGAAGATTTGGCTCCATGGGCCAAAGGAGGTTCACTTGATGCACCTGCTACAAGAATACTAGTTTCGGACACATGGCTAACTTCTGCTGTACTGAAACGTCCTAGTTTGTCGTGAATGTGCACAGAGTCAAATGTTCCTGTTTGGTCAGTATTCTTTGTTTTTGTTGTGGGGATATTGAGAAGGCCTTCGTGACCGTTGTTATCACCGCTGTGTCTCTGTGAAGAAGTGGAGTGGGCATATGTGGGGGTCTGTGTCGATCTCAGGCTGACCGGTGGTGTTTTATTCATATTGTTTGTAGTTGGTACATCACTTGTTGTGATGTTATTTGTGTTTATAGGTATAATTGCAGCCGTCACCAATACATCTGACCGTCCAGACACAGATGCAGACGACGGTTTCCATATCAAACTGTAATAAATTGCCAGTATAATAGCGGCCAAAGACACCGACAAGACATATGCGAATACAGTAGCCAGTCTCACCCACTTTTTATTGGTTTTAGCAGCCATTTTAGCTTTTTTGTCGCCCGTGTATGTGGCCGGTTTGCCCCGTTCCATGTTTGGCATAAAGTCCCGTTCCCTCATGTTCGCGCGGGTTCTCCCTCTGTGCTCCTGTGCGCCGTCCGTCTTGAACGCTTGATATTGACAGATTATTCAAGAGAACTGCTGACGGTTTAATACTCAGCTTTTGTCGATTATCCACGTCGCTGTGTTTTTTTACTCATTCATCATTCCTCCAATCTTGCAAGTCCACAACAGCGATCTGTTTCCAGCATGACAGTAGCGTGTGGACGTTATTCCATGCAGAGACGCTTCCAGAGCGCTATAGATGACCGCTATATTCAGCGATCTCACCCCGTCTAAAGCAAAACCAGTGCTGAGATGTGATTCATCTGCTGAATGACATCGAACAGACATACAGACAGCCTCCGTGTTATACAGTGATGGGACCGTGTGCTATAGACCGAAAACGAAGGGAGGCGGGTCTCACTAGTGCGCACTAACAAGTCGCTGCCCACAGCTAAACGTCATCCAGTCAGAATCCCCCTGACTGTGTTTGGGTAGTTGACAAATAACATGGACATGAACATGCTTATATTTAAAGGGGAAATGTATCACATGTGGCCACAAAAGCTCATATATAATTATATAATAGGTAAGTGCCATAAGTTTCGATGCACTGCAGGATACTACTGTCAACCACCCATTTCTTATTATTTAAGTAACTTTATAAATCATTGGAGAACTATACACAAACAGACAGACATTTTGACAAATTTTGGTCCTTTGTCCCGGGTCTCAATTTGCTTAATAGTTTTCTCTGTGTTGCAGTTTAGTTTTATAAACAATTGTTTTCATATAGGCTATATTGTATTAATCACTAGTTTTTTTTTGTTTGTTTTTTGCGATATAAATGTCTTGTCCAAATCTCAGAAACAAGTTTCCATCTCTATTAAATAGATATAAAAATGGTCAGATAGCCTATAATAACAAAATGTTATATGCCTATTGGTAGCGTCAAATGTTTGGCATATTATTAATCAGAAGAAAAAAAACAGTCAAAGATGTATTGCATTGTGTATAAGGATATACCATTTTTGCCTGTTTTATAAATAATGCCTTTGTACCTTTTTGACATGTTAGTCACCAAGTGCATGGATGCCACCAGGTGGAGAAACAGCTACACTGCACTATGACTGAAATAATGGCCAATCTCAAATTATTGTGCATTCACCTGAACAAAGGTTAAATCAGTATCAGTATGTGTATAATTTAATTCCATATTATTTTACACCTGTAACAATTTGTCATGTTAAAAGGCACACTATTGTCATTGGTTATTGTGATTAAAAACTCTAAATATCTGAAAGGATACATTTCAAGATGTTTGGAGATGAGGAGGTGTCTAATTCTGTGTACTTCTCATTTTTACTCGCTGTCTGTTTAACACGTCTCAATATGTTTTTCACACAGATATTTCTTTTTCGGTAACCAGAGACAAACTGAGGACAAGTGTTGACACTATGACCTGACTATTGGCAATGCAGGACAGGAACAGACTATGTTTTTTGTTAGTGGTCTAAGTATTCAGGACTTAAACTTCTGAAACGTGGACTTGGCTGAGGGTGCTAAACATGCAACCTAATGGGGTATAAAACTTAATGGGGTATTCATGTAAGCAAATGGCACTCATGATCAATGATCAAGTAAAAGCTTCTTGCTTAGTCTTGAGTTGGAATGTGAGTGTGGTTCTCTATTCATTTACGTTTTATACTCCAGTTAGTTGTATCAAAATAAAAATGCCGGAAGTATTCAATTTATACAAGCATAGCTTTGTGTATGTGGCAACTAAACAGAAACTGAATCTCAACAAATCTAAAAACTAATAAAATTATAGACTTAAAGAAAACACAGAATCTCATATACAAAGAAATCCATTATGATTGTTAATCATTATTTTAAACGATTTAGGATTTTTTTTCTCCTTTTTTGGCAATTAAAACAATTTATAATTTAAATAAATTTGCTATTGAACATCATTGTCCAAAATAAATTAATATGATTTAAGGGTTCAGTCTTATCTTTGGAAAAAATAAAAAATCACGGGTTCACTATTGTGGCAAACAGATTGCGCAGTCTGAGGAAGTGATGTCAATGACAATGTGTATATATAAGTATGAGAACTGAGAGCGAAACCTGTTACTAAAAGAGAAAAAAAAATGAATTTACTCTTGGGCACATGTCTTGGATTGCTGTTCAACTTTGTTGATTTTAATACAGGTAATACAGAAAAATGGTGGTCAGACTGGATAGTTTTCATAATTAATATAATATTTTTCATAATCAATATAATGGCCTGGTTTCACAGACGGGGCTTAGACTAAGCCAGGATTAGGCCATAGTTCAATTAGAACATTTAAGTCATTTTTATTAACATGCCTTCGAAAAAAACATTACTGGTGTGCATCTTGAGACAAAACAAAGGCACTGATATATTTTAACATCAGTCAGTGCAAGTTTCTTTCAGTTGAAACAGCTCAGAATTACATTTTAGTCTGGGACTAGGCTTAAGCCTTGTCTGTGAAACCAGGGGGGATATATTTTTTTTAATTAAGTTAGCAGGTTTTTATGCTTGGTTGCCCTTTTTTCATCAACTGAATAATACTTAGTTATTTTTAATGTAAAGGTTATGTTTGTGTTTACATTAAGGTGCTGATATGATTGCAGAAGAAAAGAAAGTCTTCCTTGGAGGGCGTGTGAGTTTGCGGTGTCTTAATCTGTTGACACAGACAGACTGCAGTAATGTTACATGGCTGTCTAATGATGATCCTGCCATTGAGTTGGTCACCCTTGGTAAACGCAATCCGGACAGCTCACAGAGAGAAGGCAGAGTGAGTCTGATGTCTGACTGCTCTCTACACATCAGTGAACTCGGAGCTGGAGATAATGGATGCTACACCTGCCGTCAGTATTCAGGTTTGCATGGAAGCAAAATTGGAGAGGATGCCAGAATTTGCTTGATTATTAATAAAGGTAAGCTTTATGGCATGATTTATCAATTTGTCTTCCTTTGTGTCCTTCACTTTTACAAAACAATGGTAATGCGTATGAATTTAAATCTTGTTTTTACTGTGCAGTATACAGTATTTACATGTGTATTTACATTTTATATTAATAGAATTTAACATTAATAATAGATTTGTACCAGTTTAATTGTTTTTCTTGTTGTAAATGTCTTTGACTGCTCTATATTGCTGTTGCAGTTTAGTCAGGTCAGTAGTTAAATGTTAGTGGCTTAAGTTTTTGCTATGGAAAAATGATCATAATGCCAGCAATATCCTAACCAACAGTTTTGTCTTGTATCTAAAATTGGCAAACATCTCCAATGCCTTTTTCCTTTTTTTCAGCTGCTACTTCCATGAACAATAATGACAGCACAGATGACAGAGAAGGTGATATATCGTCCTCCAATTATTTCCATAAATCATATTTTCATGATTGAGAATTGTATATGCACTACATTGTTCAACAGAAATCTTATATTTGTATCCCTTGTTGGCAGTGGTCAGTAGTTAAATGTTAGTGGCTTAAGTTTTTGCTATGGAAAAATGATCATAATGCCAGCAATATCCTAACCAACAGTTTTGTCTTGTATCTAAAATGGGCAAACATCTCCAATGCCTTTTTCCTTTTTTTCAGCTGCTACTTCCATGAACAATAATGACAGCACAGATGACAGAGAAGGTAGAGCTGAAGATCTTTGCCCGAACCCGACAGGACCCGACGGGACCCGACGGGTTCGGTCGGGTTCGGGCTTAATTTATATCATTTCATGATTGAGAATTGTATATGCACTACATTGTTCAACAGCAATCTTATATTTGTATCCCTTGTTGGCAGTTGTTCTGTGTAAATTAGTAGTTCAACATGAGTAGAGCTCAGGGCTAAAACAGATGGATTAAACACATTTTGACAAATGCAGTATGATGTGTTGGTAGAAAAACCTAAAAACATATAAATAAGCCTTTGAATTCTAATTACATTATCTGCCTTCTTGGTTTCTTGTTGACCAGCATACTGTACATAACTTCATAATAAAACCTAATACATTATAGTGTATAGAAACATAAAGACATTATATCTACGTGACTCTATAATGCTGTTGTTGTTTTTTTTATTCTTCTTCTTTTAAAGACCTGTTAATGATAATAATCCCATCAGTGCTCATCGTCGGTGCTTTGTCAGTGACTGCACTCATCATTTGGCTGAGATATCACAGGAGAGCACAAAGTGAGCCATGGTTACCTTACGGTCTCATTCTTTACAACTGTGCTGTTTCTTTTAACTTACCAAATCTTCAACCCTGAAAATGTGCACTTTCTTTCTTTCTTTTAGTGAGAACATCAGTTGAAAATCAGAACATATTGGAATTTGAAACCAAAATAACTGAACATGAACACAAGAATGTGGGTAAAATGCCAATTGGATATAGCATATACATCTTGATTTGCCTGGTGTGTTGCTTTACTCAATTTACAGAATTCTGTTCTTATTACTTGCACAGGGTGAAGATGTGAACTACATTGAATTAAACCACAATGTAATGAAACCAAGGAAAATGGACATTGACAAAGTAGCGGACATTGACCAAAAAACTGAATATGCTGTCATAAAACTTTGCTGATCGCTGTAAACATGTTACGCTAAATAATTCCTCAGTTGTACAGCATAAAATAAGTTGATTTCATCGACTGCATGTGTCTATGTGTGTAAGCACTTCCTCACAGGTTATGATTCCCATGAGGTCATTGTCTGTTTTTGGTCACTGGATTACTCACAAGTCACAAGTTTATTGAACTTCTCTCTGTCTCTCTCTCTTGTGTATCTTTTGTCACGACCATTTTTCCATTTGTTTGTTTCTTTGTTCTTTTAGCTTTACTTTATGTGCTTCATTAAATTAAGATAAACTATTTTCTGCCTCATTCTTAACTTCTGTAAAAGAACATTACAATTGCAAACATCACAATCGCACAAATCAACAGTCAAATTAATCAAACAGTTTTCTTTTTTCATCTTGACTGGCACAAACTCGACAAGAAACAGGACCAAAAACCAGTAAAAGACATGGATTTGTAAAATATATGAAACAGGAGAAAGAAACACATCACATTGATGAGTGTTAAATGTAGTATGTAAGGGTTATTGATGGGGGGGGGATTAAATGCTACT